CCTCAGCCTGCGTACCCCCGCTCCTTCCCGTCTCAGCTTTGTCCAGACCTCCTTTTCATCCCGGCCTCGACCTCGGCTTCGTGCGGAGCTTGTGGCTTGTTTGGGGATCGAGGGTCGTGGTATAGGCTAGGGGCGGGGTGTGTTGCGGGGTCCTCGGCCCCTCCCCGTTTCGTCCTGCCTTCCTTCCCGACGGGCTTCTCCTTTCCAGACAGATCGTCGTCCTTGATGCAGTCGAGGTGGTCTGAATCTCGGGGTGGAGGGTCGTTGGGGGAGGGTTTTGGTTGTGAACCGGGTGGTGTCGGGTTGGGGGGTGGGGGAGGAGACAGCGCTTGGACCCTGGTTGCCCCGCTGCTCCCCGGTGCCCTGCCTGGCCCCCCGAACGGGGGGTCGGGCGGGCCCGTGGCAGCRGCTGGTGGCGACGGCTTTGCAACTTCTTATTGATGTACCTGCTCTGATTTGTCGGTGTCTGGGTTGACGGCCCCCTTCTGTTCTAGTCGGGGGGTCGGTCGTGTCGGAACGGCACCAAATTGTAGAACTCTCGACAAACGAATATCTTGGCTCTCGCAACGATGAAGAGCGCAGCGAAATGCGATACTGAATGTGAATTGCAGAAATCYGTGAGCCATCGATACCTTGAACGCACGTGGCGCCCGAGGCTTCTGCCGAGGGCACGCCCGCCTGAGCATCATTGGATTCCTCATGACCTCAGCACCTTCTGTTTCGGAGAGTGGTGGGGTCCGTGGTCGAGGCTTCCCGTGCTTCTCACTTGGAGAGGGTCAATAGCCTAAAGTGGAAGGGAATTGGAGAGCATTCCGACCGGGCTTGTGGGGGCCGAAGCCCAGAGTGGTGCGTTTCGCTCCGCCCTGTTGTTGCCCTCCAGCACCCGTTTGTGGGTGGTGGTCTTCGTTTCCCTGAAAACGGCACGTAAGGTCGTCCCTCCGGTTTGTGTGGTCRCCGCCTTCCGTTCGCTCCCATCAGCTAAAGGTGGGCTTGCGGTTGGGGGTGTCGGCCTCGAGCTGTGGAGGTACATCGGGCCTTGCCTTTTGATATCAGGTCGGGCGGGAGCACCCGCCCAATTTAAGCATATAACTAAGCGGAGGAAGAGAAACCAAYGAGGATTCCCTTGGTAGCGGCGAGCGAACCGGGAATAGCCCAGACTGAAAATCCAGGGGCTGTGTTGCTCTCTGAATTGTAGTCTTGAGAGGCAACCTCTGCAGCGGGCCGTGTGCAGATTCCCTGGAAGGGGACGCGGAAGAGGGTGACAGCCCCGTCGACCGTCGGACCCTGTTGCGCAACGAGGTGTTGTCCAAGAGTCRGGTTGCTTGGGAATGCAGCCCCAATTGGGTGGTAAGTCCCATCCAAGGCTAAATATGTGCGAGGGACCGATAACGAAGAAGTATCGTGAGGGAAGGATGAAAAGAACTTTGAAAAGAGAGTTAAAGAGTGCTTGAAATTGCCGAGCAAGAAGCGGGTGGAGGGGAAGTCGTGCGCTCCCGTCTGGGCAGGGGTGGACGGCGATTGTGTTGTCGCCCACCTTGTTGGACGTGGGGTGCCTGCCAGCATGGGCTGCTGTGACCGGCATTGCGGTAGGGAGCGATTGAAACCCGCCACGGGTGGCCGTCACGGCAGTCGAGGACCTTGAGCACGCGCCTCTTTCTGTAGGCCCGTTCGGGTTCCTGTGTGTTCGGGATGCTGGCGAAATTCCTTTATCCTGCACGGCTTGAAACACGGACCGAGGAGTTCAACGTGCATGCGAGCCGGTGGGTGATTAGCCCACGAGGCAAAAGAAACTTGAGTGGCAGGAACCCTCTGCGAGTGCACCGTCTGCCAACCACGATCTACTGTGAGAGGTTTGAGTGTGAGCATGCCCGTTGGGACCCGAAAAATGATGAACTATGCCTGAGCAGGGCGAGGCCAGAGAAAACTCTGGTGGAGGCTCGCAGCGATACTGACGTGCAAATCGTTCGTCGGACTTGGGTACACGGGCGAAAGACCAATCGAACCGTCTAGTAGCTGGTTCCCTCCGAAGTTTCCCTCAGGATARCTGGAGCTGTTGAACAGTTTTATCGGGTAAAGCGGATGATTAGAGGCCTCGGGGGTGAAACACCCTCGACCTAATCTCAAACTTTAAATAGGTAAGATTTCGGGGTTGCTTAAGCGAACCCCGAGGATCAATGAAAGCTCCAAGTGSGCCATTTTTGGTAAGCAGAACTGGCGATGCGGGATGAACCGAAAGTCGAGCTACGGTGCCAAACTGCGCGCTAACCCAGACACCACAAAGGGTGTTGATTGACATAGACAGCAGGACGGTGGTAATGGAAGTCGAAATCCGCTAAGGAGTGTGTAACAACTCACCTGCCGAATCAATCAGCCCCGAAAATGGATGGCGCTGAAGCGCGCGACCTATGCTCGGCCGTCGCGGCGATTCTRACGCCGCGACGAGTAGGAGGGCGCGGGGCCTGCTGCGAAGCCTGGAGCGTGAGCCTAGGTGAAGCGGGTC